CTATGACTCAGAAGCTATGCATAGGGTGTGTGCATAGCTATGGATCATAACAAACCATGGTTAATCTTGAGAAGAATGGGAATTCCAGAACTTTATTATGCTCATGGGGAACTTGCACATGGATCAAGAAGCAGTTGTGAGAACAGGAGAAGGGGTTACTGCATCGTTTAAAATCAGGAAAAGTGTGTGACGGGGTTTGTCCTATCACCATACTTGTTCAATCTGATGCTGAGCAAATCAACAGAGAATCTGGCTTATATGAAGAAGAAAGAGGCTTCAGGATTGAAGGAAGGCTTATAAACAACCTGCACTATACAGATGACACAACCCTGCTTGCTGAAATCGAGAAGAACTTGAAACACTTGCTGATGAAGATCAAGGATTGCACCAGTCAGTACGCATTACAACTCAATATCAGAAGGACCTCAGAAAAGTTTCACAAGTAGACCAATAGGTAAGAAAGGTCATCCAGTTCCTCTTGCTATAGCTTTAAGCTCACTAAGTCCCTTTCTGATTGGAAATCCAATGATCAGTTCTAGACAACTCAGATGGTGAGTTAATATATTTAGATCACCAGAGAAGTATAATAGAATAAATTAATACTTGTATTTACATCTGTCTAACTCTTACGTTTGATTTTGAGCACAACTATCCTCCATCTGTCAGTGGTGGATCATTTATTATGATGATGTTAAATAAAGCCCCAGGTACCTACGTGGCACAAATGTTTCCTGATCAACAATCAAGGTATGCTGGTGGCATAGTAGGTTACATGTTGAGCTTTTAGAAGTTCAAGTCCACCAAACGCTCTGTAGAAGGAACATGAAGCAGTCTGCTCATGAAAGATTTACAGCCTTAGAACCCCTAGGGAACAGTTCTATGCTACCCTATAAGGTTGCTGTCACATGGAATAGATCTACTCAATGACGATTAGCTTGTTTTTCTGCATTAGTCTAAATGTTGGTGGTTCGAACCCCCTCAGTTGTATCATGAAAGAAAGGTCTGATGATCTGCTTCTATTCAGATTATAGTAAAAAAAAACCCAAAAACCTATGGAGGCTTTCTACTCTGTAACACATGTAGGTGCCATGCATTAGAATGAATTTGAAGTTACGCGATTTGGTTTGGTTTGGTTTGTAAGAGAGCTTCCAAACTAAGATACACTGGGAAGAAAAGCATGGTGATCTACGTTTAAAACGTCAGCAAATGAAAACCCTAGCGATCACAATGGCGCCCCCCCCCCCCCATCAATCATAGACACGGAAAATAACTAGACCTTGTTTAGCTTTTCTGTACATAGTATACCCATGTCAGGGGCTAACACGATAGCAGCTCACCACAACCTCTTATGGTTTCGATGAATGAAAAAGCCAAGGTCCCTGAGTTATGTTCAAATATGAATACACTGAAAAGATTTTTCTAATCTGAGAATTCAGAATTGTGGTTGTAACACATTTCTCTTTATAATTGCAGTTGACCTTCCCCTTTTGGAAATACTATGAATTGGTTCTCAGTTTCTGGGTAACAGCAAGCTAAATATACTATGATATGTATACATGGAGAATAAAACTTTCAGTAATACAGTTTCACACATATTTGTTATGTTATATTTCTTTTGTCTTTCATTCTCCTCTCTTTCTTCCCTCCCTACTCCATTCTCTTCTTGTATAGAGCTCTCCATCGTAGAGATTTTCTCCTTCACATAGAATTCATAAACACCAGAATCATATTTACTTTGTTGGAAAACAAATTCGAATATGATAGATGGATAAGATAACATTTACATTGATACAGAGTAAGACAATCACAAGTGCATCTCAAGCCAATGAACAGCTTCATGTTGGTACAGAAATATGCCATCATGAGCATCCTGGACTATTTGTTGTCGTACACTCGTGTGAACTTGATGGAGTTCCATTTCTGAATGACTTGCTACTCAAATTCGACTAACCTTATGTATGGGTGAAAGGCTTTCATAGCTACTGCTATGAACAATTTGAGGTTTTATATATCATACTCAACTCATCTTTTAATGATGAATGAAATGTTCACACCTCGAGCTGCAACTCGTAGTGTGTGTTCCTGTTGGTGGACAGAACTTCGGAACTGCCAGATTTCTTCTTAGTGTATGCCCTTTCTTGGGTCTTTCCCTTCCCACCTTTCCTGGAACTCCCTTGGTTAAATAGGGCTCATTCTCATCGTCTACCAGATGCATACACATGATATCACCATCAGACAATTCAACAATTTAACACATTTATAAAAACGCAGAAAGTACCTGGACATAGGCTCTGCAAGAGCGCTCTCTTTTCTGAAGCTGAATCCATTAAGACAGCAGATTAAACACAGAATAGAAAAAACAAGTTAGTGACAGAAGAAAACCAGAAAAATAAAAGAACACATTTACACAAAACACCTTATTCTTTCGTGTTCTATGTTCTCGAAGACAGTGAAAGCTAAGCAGCAGCAGTATGTGAGCAATGGCTTTGACATGATGGCCAAGAGCCCTTTCGGATAACCCACGTGAAAACTAGACAGTGTAAATCTCTTAATGATGGAAACAAATCTTGAAATAAATTCAGTAGGAATTAGTAAAAAATAAATAAATGCCATTCACGTTAAATGACTCATTTCGCATCCGGTTAGTTGTTATCAATTGAAGATGTATGAAGTTAAGTAGTTTATGTCAACTATACTGAGACATTTTTTCAAAGGTAGAAGTTTGTGGTTTAGATTATATAGAAACATAATGTGCACCACAGGTCATATGTTCATGAATGTTAAAAAAATATATCAGGAAAATGGTACTTCTCATTTTTTGTAACAATTGACTCTCAAGGACATATGGAATGAGATAAATAACTTTCACTGAAAAGAAAGTGATTAACTTTCTGACTTATCACTGTTTTATTTCCTGAAAAAAATCTTTTGATTATGTACACCAAAAAACACAAAAAGCAACAAAAGAGAAAACGTCCACTAATGTTCATTTTTAAATGTCTGGAGAACTGAAAAAAGACATGTACTTTAAATGCAGAGTGACATTTTACTGGGCAAAAAGGTGACATAAACTCATATTCAGTTCCAAATGTTTTTCTCACATGATAAAATGAGCAATTAATAACAGTTTATTTGCCATGTTTAAATAAATGACGCAAAAATTTTCTAAATTAGATTGTAGTTTCCCTCATTTTTCCTATCCCCCTCCTTCCTGCCTTCAGTAGCCTTGATTATTGAAGGAGAAAATTACTCAGCTTTAAGGAGCTGTTACTCTGATGCCTTTTGTGTGGCTAATACTCTTCCAACTTTAATTCGGGCATTCTTCAATGAGCATGGAGCAGTGACTCTTGTAAAGAATTAAGTGAGAAATGAGTGCAAGTAAATTGCCAGGGCTGTCATTTGGATCACTGACTCGCATCTTGGTTTTGCAGGACTCTAAACCCCCAGAATTTCAATGTGGAGCACAATTGATTTGTACTGAGATGACTTCACAAATCTGCTGGGTTAAAACTGCTTAGGGAACAGTGGGGACCACAGGAAAAGAGAGCGAGCCTGCAAGCATGTGGGTAACCTTTGCCCTCCCATCTCCTGGCCCCATCATGCAAATTAACATATGACAACCCACATTATATAAACAATTGAAAAGAGACAAATGGGAAACAAAAGAGAGCATTAAAAAGCATCACAAATGGAAATTTGCCCATTATGCACTTATTTGATATTCAGAGTAGGCAAGCTGATTAGCTGTAGCCAGTTAGAAGGTGACATTAATTGCCAGCTTTACCTGAGATTGTCAGACATTAGTACCATTTTTAAATAAAGATACAAAGTATTGCTCTAACAAGTCATGTTATGGATATTTAACATTAGTGCATTGAGATAACAATAGCTGGCAGCTATATTCATTAATAACATCCAGTAAGCCTGGGTAATAACACATTAAAATCTCTGCATGCCCAGAGTATAGAGGCAATTGTGGATTATAATCTATCAAGGGTTTGGTTGTCCATCTCTCAGAGGCATAAACGACAAAAATCACTCCATTATACACTGCAGGAAAAAACTGTAGAAGCAATTTATATACAGTGGCTGAAACGGCATCTGTTTTCTAGAATAACATTGTAGGAAAATGTGTAATTGCCAGATAAAATATTGTGCTTTTTTATACTCACTATTTTGTTTTCAAAAAAGTTATTCTACCTTAGTGAGTGAAACATTACCTCAACAGCACATGAAAGGAGTAAATCTTTGAAAAGATCACTCGGCAAAGCCCATTTTTCCTCTGAGGAGACATGCTTCTGTAGGGAATTGCGTATAGGACCGTTCCATTGTCAGTGCCCAATCACTGCCTTTTGAAGCAGTCAATTATTGTGATATTTGGCCTCTGAATCTAGTTTCAATTATTAATAACTTCTACTGCAAAAATGCTATTCAGTGAGCACATGACTCCATGGGAGCAAATCTAACATCCTTCCTTCAGGGAGTTATGTAAATCTGTTTCCTCTTGTAAATTATATCATTACTTCTTTTGGCAAATAAAATGTTTTTCTTACTTTTTTTTTTCCTGAAAAAAAAAAAAAAGAAATTGTTTTCCTTTTTCACTCTCAAATTTGCTGGAAGTTTTAATGATAGTAGTATAAACTCAGAATGACCTAATAACCGAAAGCTATAGGGGGTAAATATTAAAACCTAATCACTCCCCATCTTGAATTGTGAAAGTAATATTAATTAAGTTAAATGATCTCAGTTGAAAAAAAAATCTCTGTAGAACAGCAGGAGCCCAAGTGGTTTATTAGACTATGCTCTGAGCTACTAACAGCCAGGTCAGCAGTTCAAACCCACCAGTCACAGGCCACCAAGGATGAGGCTTTCTGCTCCCTGACAGATTTATAGCTCAAAAGCCCACAGAGGGGCCCTAAGAGTTGGACTCGATGCCATGGCATTGATTTTTATTTAAATGTACAATCAATTATTAATGATCAACTTTCATGGCGGCTCAACTTCTAAAATCTCTATTTGCTAATCAGACATCTGTGTTGTCAAGTTTTTGAAATAAAGGCCTGCGAGGGTAAGAAGGCAAAATAAATTGAAGTGATCCATATTAACTCTGTCATGACTTATAATACAAAACAGAGTAACTACAAATAAAGTTACACATTCAAAATATTTATGGAGACAGGGTTATTTTTTGGATTAAAAGTTATATAAGTTCACTATTAAATAAAAGAATGAAGTGAATACAACCAGAATTTAATGTAACCAGTGATTTTCTTTGGAATATCCTGGTTCTACAGAAAGGACACAAAAAAAAATTAAGCAGGGATGTCTCATCCCTTTTACTAATGAGAAACGGATTTAAAGAAACGTGAAACTTGAAGCCTTACCTTGTTTAAACTGCGCGCAGCGCTGTCTTTTCCTCCCGGGGTCAAGTTCCGGAGCTGGACGTCTAGGAGACCAACGAGCTGATCCATGGCTCGGACAGAGTAAGTGATGTCCCCGGCATTCAAATGATTCCTGGTCTGTTCAGCAAGTTCTCTAGCAATGTTGGCAGCTGTCTCTCCAGATTTCAGCTACCATTTAGAAAATGAAATAGAAAAGAAAAAATATCAGATGTCTCTTTTGACAATTATTGACACGGAAGTTAGAACCACTGAGGTAACAAACAGCTACGAACTCCATCTGCACCTGGAATATAGACCAAAAATGTCCTGCAAATACATCTCTCTCTCTCTCTCTCTCTTTAAAATTAAATCTGACTGCAAATTCATATCTCAAGAAGTATCTTTAAAGGAACTTTACTTTCAAAAATTATTTTCACTTTAACCACCCATTTAGGTGCTGAAGTCTAAGATTTGCTTTACTATTTTCTCTGTGAATTTCTAATTTGGACTTTGATGAGTATGTCTTATGTATCCTACATATTCTAAATTTACACACACATGTACATAGTCTTTTCCATTGTGGCTAGTTTAACATTTAGTTCAAAATTAAACTTCACTGACTGCTAAACTATGTGAAAAATTTTACTCAAAATAAAATCCTTGCATTTCAATGTTGTTTTTGTCTTATTGCTAACATAATGATAAAGTGATTCTGCTCCTAGTATTCCAGGTAGAAAACTATTGCTTGGTTTCTAGTATTTGGGAATTATGAGACCTTTTTTCTTTTTCAAGTATAATCTGCAAGAGCAGGAAGCTAATACTCCAGAGAGAGTAAAAGATATTAAGATTAATTCCCATGTTCAGTTGAAAACTAATGTGGTAACTCTGGTTAGTAATAAGAGAGGAACATATATTGATTTTGAAGGAAGGTGCAAGAAACTGAACACATAGCAAGCAATAACAAAAATGTAATTCAGTGGTAAATAAGTTTAATTTTTGAGGTTATCACATTCTTTATTAAAACTAATAAAAACATTTAAAGCACAATAAAACACTAAAATAAGTTTGTTGCATAGCTAAAAATATAAACTAAAATCAAACCCATTGTCATCAAGTCAACAGACTCCAACTCATAATGACTCTATGCAAGCTTCCAAGGCTAGAGGCTCCAGAAGCAGAGTTTCATTTTTCTCCCTTGGAAAAGCTGGTGGATTTGAACCACCGACCTTTTGGTTAGCAGTACAACTGTAGCTCACTACACGAGCAGGGCTCCTGTTTGCTTTCCTAGAGGGCGTGATTTAAGACATTATCCTTTGTTGTCCTTGTGTGGTAGTTATATAATTGTCAATTTAGGATTAAGCATGTAGGGGTGCAGTCTGGCTTGTCAATCAGGCCATAACCAATCTAAGGATTCTGGGAATTCTGGTATTTCCTCCTTGGAGGTGGGGGACTCTCTGCTCACACCCTGGGATACATAGCAGCTGACAAGACACATGGACCCACCCTGATGCAGCTCTGGGTGCTGGAGAAGCCATGCAGAGACCCCTGCCAGCACTGAGATGTTTCCAATGCCACTGGATCCAAAGATTTTGACCCACTGGCCTGTGATTTTCTGCATTCGGCTTCACTGCATGTATTTCGTGACTCTGAAGAGGACTTTATAGGTTGGTATTGGACATATGGGCTAATATTGGACTTACAGACTTAACCTGGAGTGGGCTGTACAATGTTCAATTGCTCTTGTATATAAATCTCTTTCTTATACACCTATGAGTGTCCATGGATTTGTTTCTCTAGTCTACCCAGACTAACACACCTTGGATATATAAAGGCCCTACCATACAGTTCTAGCACACATGGCCTCTGTTTCTTGATTGGGCTTTGTTAGAAGCAGGAAGACCTGCTGTGACATTTAGACATGTTCAGTCTGCTCCACGTAGTGACCCAAGCCAAGAACTACTCTGCAAGAGAGAGGCTTTCTATGCTGGGGGTCGCGACCTCTTTAGGAGACGAACGACTCATTCACAGAGGTTGCAAAGACCTTATTTCCAGTGGTTTTAGGACCTGAGACACCGCTCCTCTAACCCTCTACAAGCGGGTCCTCCCACATGCAGATACGCCCACCTAAGGGGTCGCCACAAGAGGAGGGCTGCATGAAAGGGTCGCGGCATTCGGAAGACTGAGAACCACTGTTTGAGCGTGAAGGGTTCTCTTCTTGGAAGCCACAGCGGCAGTTCTGCTCCTCTATTGGGTTTCTAAGAGTCAGAATTGACTCACTGACAGTGTCTCTCACTTCTCTGATCAAGAGATCCTGATTTTTAGCAATCATTAATTAACTTACTAGATTATCAGTCAATGACTAAACTATTTGTAAAAATAAACCCCATGCTTATAAGTGTACACGGAATGCTACAGTGCTCTACAGTGAATTGCTTATCTTTGAATACGTCTTTTTCATTAGATTCTTACAGGTATCATGTCTGCAGCCCCAACTCTACACACATTCACTACACTCAGTGTAGCTTTAAATTAAAAAAAAGTAGCTGTACAATAATATATTCTTAATATGTATTAAGATGACCCTTTGTGAAATTTAAGCAATATAGATAAGGATTTCCAAGGTCAGCCCAAATTTCAGCCAATCAGTTTTGCTATTGATCAAATCCCCAAAGTAAAATTTTGGCCTCAATGAAAGACTGCTGGGGAGCCGGGAGGGGTGCAACTAGGAGAAAGGCCCCACTACCGAGGGTGGCCCCGTTTGGCTGAAGGCGTCGGCAATATGTTTTCTATGTTGACCACATCTTCAGGGTTAGGGATACATGTACTGATTTTCAATATATATGAATTCCACTGATACACTCAGGCAGACGAAAAAGAAATAATTCCAATATTCATTCATGAAATCTTATAGGAGAGAGTTGAACTGTCCCTGTGAGCTTCCAAGACTGTGGTTTGGAACTGCTTACCCTGCAGTGGGAATTCTACCACTGCCTCTTGGACACAGAAACTACTTCCATGAATAAATGAGTCTGAGGGTACATGTTCCTTGAACATGTCTCTTACAAAAACAGTCTTCATTCTCAATTCACAAGGAAGTTGCAAGACATTATTTAAAATGCATGTTGAATTACAAATATTCAAGTCTAGATAATAAGTAAATAATATATTCAATACTATGTCATTGTATGGTATATATTATAGAACATGATAAAATATGAGAAGCATGTATCCAAAGCTAAATAAATAATTAAATAATTACTAATTAGTTAAATAAATAATTATTATTTCTGATCCTTACTTAAATCATAGCAGAAGTCTCTCATTCATTTAATAATTGTTCAAAAAATTGTTCAAACATTTGCTTTTTCCTGAAAAAAGCAAATTTATAATGTTAACACAAACACCTCACTTATAAAAATAGACCTACATAAAAGGTATTAGGAGTCTTTGATTCATGTAAATAGTGTTCAAACAAAAGGTCGTTTTTTCAAATCCACCAGGAGGCATCTGAGAATAAAGGCCTTGGAATCCCTATGTGTGGGAAACAGAACTGGGAAGAGAGTGTATGTGGACAAACTCAACATTCATATGATAAGGAGTCTGGGAGGCCAAGGCTCCCTTGGAGGACACCTTCACATTCCATTCGTGGGTTGGAGATGCGTCCCACCTACATTCTCCTAAGTTATTCCCCATGATGTCCCTCTATAATAACGCCAAATCTCATGTGCTGTTTGCAGACACAAGGTCACTGACTATCCACTGGGAGATCAACTGCTTGAAGTTTATCTGCCTGATGGTTGTCTTATCTGCATGATGGTTGTCAGCCATCTAAGGCAATGAGACCCTATTGTCTGTCCCACCTTAAGAGTAGGATCCACTTCCTTCTGATAAGGATAATGGATTGTTCCCCTGAAGGAGAGCTCAAAGACTCCTAAGGTCAAGCCAACCCAGGGATGACCAAGGTTAGACTGTCATCTTGGCTCTAGAACTCACTGATCTTGTTACATGTATGCCTTCCTGTCACATGTGTGCCCACATGCCTCCCCTTCCTATTGCATGCACATCCCTAGCTCGTCCCCCTCCTGTTATGTATATGCCTATTGTACAACTCCTTCTGTTACACATGTGCATACTGTGGCCTGCATGCCCAGATTATATATATTCCTGAAATTATATTACTCGTTCTCTCTCCGCTGACCTGGCTCCTAAAGTATGATGCTCTGGAGATGAGCACACATATGCTGTATCTTGTCTGATGTCTCTTTAATTTTACTTCTCAAGTTACACAACTGCCCCTTGGACCCATTTGGTTGTGGGGAGAAAGGTCCCCCACACCCATGGAATGCAGTGAGACTCATGCCATTACCATGAGACATGCATGACTTGCCAACTGGTAAAGACGTATTATGAGAAAGTTAATATGCCCTTAGAAAGTGGATGACAGGGCAAAGCCAAATAAATGTTAAGCTTGAGTGGTGAGTAACCAGGTAACATGCAATACAATAAGGACTATGAGGACAAAGGGCACTCCAAGTAAAAACAAACAAACAAACACCTGCCACCCAGTCAATGACACAGTAGACCTACTCCTGTGGGTTTACAAGACTATAATTCTTTACAGGAGTAGAAAGCTTCTTCTTTCTACAACAGTAGTTGGTTTCAAACTGCTGATCATGTGATCAGTAGCCTGTATAAATTTCTAATAGCACTATGCTATCTCGTAATACAACAGTGAATAAAATTTAATAACATCAAGTTTATATCTTAACCAGGAAAACAGTGGTTAAGAAGTTAATTTTACAAATATATGTTTAGCTTTCATTTTGATTAGTGTAATACAGAATCAGTGTGGTAGTGCAGTTTAAAGGCATGGTCACTTGCTTTAGGAAGTTCGGAAGTCTACTGCACCTAAGGGCGGCCGTGGGAAGCCAGCCTGCACTGCTGTGCCATCCGAAATGCCTGGCCACGGGGAAAGACAACAGCCCAGAAAACCCTGTGGAGCAGGTCTACTCAGTGCAATATGGCGTCATTCTGATTAGAAAGTGACTCAACTGTAACGCTTTTTGGTTTTGTTAGAGAGGTAGGGAGGCATTTAGGAAACACCTCTCTGAGGAGCATCTTTACATATTAAAATGGAATTGAGAAGAAGGCATTAGATTGAGGTCAGTTTGAGGGCTTCAGCCAGAGAG